CAGCGCAACCCAAGCGCAATCGCCTGTATATGTGAGTGTGTGTGTATGCGTGTGTTTTTTTGTATGGGTATGTGTGTGCGTGTGTTTGTTTGTATGCGTGTGTGTGTGTGTGTGTGTTTGTTTGTATGCGTGTGTGTGTGTGTGTGTGTGTGTGTGTGCTAATTATTATTGAAATATCAGGTGCTTGTAGGGTTCAGGGGATCTCGTAGTCGAGCAGTCTCGACTAGAGCTTTCTTTCTTGTTTTTTTTAGACTTAGATGCGGTTTGAACAGCTTTGCCTGGTTTATTTATGCTTTTTTCATGTTCGTTTTTTTTTTCTTCGCTTTATTTTGATAAATTATTGCTGACACCATTTCAAAGGTGTTGTTGTTGGTGTTGTTGTTGGTGCTGTTGCTTGTGCTGCTGCTGCTGCTACTGCTGCGGCACGTTGCATGCGCGCGCATTACGCTCGATTGCAGTTGCTGCAACTGCAACTGCAACATCTTGCAATATTTAACAACAACTGTCTGGCCAAGTTAGCGTCTACTTATGTCTCCTCTCCATAAAGAAACACAAATAAATATGCTGTACACATACATAATACATAGCCACATACATACACATATATATTTACTATATATATTTACGCTCAGGTATATACAAATATGCAGCGTGCATTTAATTTTTCATAAATGCTTATTTCAACAAATCCAAACTCGTTTCACAGCCACTGTGCGATATTCAAAGCGTTGTTATTATAACTGCGCATATAACACAGCAACTCTTTTTTAATACACGAGGGCTGTAACAGGGCTTTATTGAAAAGTCTATTGTGAATTGCGAATAATTGACAATTCTTATAAAGGTCCATTGAAAGAAATCTGTTGGCTTTTGTTTTTATTATAATTAATCAAATGATCATTTGGCATTAGTTCAATGGAGTATATTATATTATAAGCTTGAATTGAATTAAGTGAATGTACAGTCATAATAAATTATCAGTGGCAGTAAAGTTTACCTCACATAATAGACATAAATCTATTTTTTCTCAATTTTTGTGTAGATATTTATAAATATTTAACATAACTGAATATTATGTATTGTAATTATGAATAATTATATTCCATGATTAACATATATTTTATTTTACTTTATTGTAATACTTACTTCTATAATCATTTTATTTATTTATTAATACTTTATAAATTTTTTTTAAATATGTACATTTAGTAATCTCTATGCTTTTATTCCCTTTTCCACCCTCGCGCTTATGAGCGTACTGTGAATATTGCGAGACGTGTTTGCGGTGTGCTCAACGCTGATTATCGTGACTCACATTGTTTGGCATTTGCTGCTGATCACACACACACACCTATACACCAATACCTCTGCATATATGTATGTGTTATATTCAATATAAATGCAAATACAATTCGTACGATCGTAAAAACTCATACGCAAAGCTCTTATATGCGGGTCGCGAAGCTTGTGAAACTCGCCCAAGCGTAGCTTCTCCCAGAGAGTCTTTATCTATCTGTCTCTGTCTTGCTCTCTATATTGATTAGTCATACGGTATACGTGCGACGCAATGAGCCAAATGCAATAGTAGTTAACTTCTTCCCAGACGCACACAGCCGCACACACACTCACACACATACACTCACGCACACACATGCGAACAATTATGTTTGCTTAGCATGTTCATTCAACTTGACACCTAGAGAAAGCTGTGAAAATCTTTATAGAACTCGCCAATGAATCAGCTGATCAATTCGCACGCACAGTCTACTTCTATACTTAATTATGATTATTATTCTTCTTCTTCTTTTTATGAGTAATACTATTCCCGATTGGCAAACAACAGTTATTCCAATGGCAGCGATAAAAACAATTTGCCGCATGTCTCCGAAAATATGTTTCGACTGTGAACTGCAAACTTTTGATAGAAATTACTTCTTTCCTCCTATAACATGCCATTGTATTAATGTTGATAGATATCGAAAAGATGTTTCTTGCATTTATAGTTTAAAATTAGCGGATGCGATTTGTTTATGATTGCTTTAATGTGCATTTAATGAGCACTAAAAATTGATTGATTTTTGCCTTTTTGGGCGAGGTTTGCGTGTTCCCATTTAACACAAAAGATTTGAAATAATAATGCATTGGATATAGTGTATATAAGTGACTATATGCATTTTTTGAGGTCAGGCTTATACTAGTCAGGGCTTCATATCTCTATCTTTTTAAGTGATAATAAAAATAATTTATTCAGATTATATAAATGCAGTTAATACTGAAAAGTTTTTATCATCAGATTATATTAAGATATTATTTAATCATTTCGTTCTCCTCTCGATGTTGTCATTAAAAATTCAAGATATCTTTAAAATGTATCTTAAAACCGTTAAAAATATGTGCATAAAATATGCTAAATTAATAGTATTATAATGAAAACTAGAAGAATATTATCAGAGCTGATAGAAATGAAGCTGCGTTTTATAATTCGGCTGAGTAGCTTAATGAAGTCGTGAAAAGAAATTCGCTTCGAATTACAATATGAAAAACGAGTAGCTGAAAGTTATACAAACGCTAGTTTTTTAAACTAAAATATACCTAATTATAGACATATTATTAGCTTGTTGTGTAATTAAAGCTCTACGATTGTTCGTATCAACTAAGACTGATAATAAATTCTATCTATATCGTTACATATGTATATACCTCTCAAAAATTCCAATTGGCTGCCAATGGGGCGCCCTAATTGAGTTGTTAATAAAACCTACTTATAGCCTGCGTCAGACTGTCCGTGAAAGCTATTCTATGGTCGCTCAAAAACCAATTATCCGTCTTCACATACCAAATCAATTTGTGAGGCAACCAAAAAATAGAAAGAGAGAGAGAGAGAGAGAGAGAGAAAAAAA